CTGCCTGGCAACATATACCAGGTGCATGTGCCAGACCCCCCCCCCCCGCCCATCATTGCCCCAACCCCTCCCCAAAGTTACAAAATCAGAATGAATGATAAGTGCACTGTCAGCACACACAGCTCTTCTTCCTTGAACCCTTATTCTCTGCAATCTGACCTCTCGGTCCTAACCATGACCTGTCTGATACCTCTAGCTTTTCACCTTCTCAACTCTCCCCGATGTCCTTAACTATTTCTGACCTCATCCCTTGCTGTGCCTGACATGCAACTCCTGACCAAAAGCCCAAACCCATTACACCACAGAAATGACCATTTGACCTGAATCTTGACCCCGGCTTCAATGACCCCTCCGTTCCTTCGCTCTTTCATCTTTCCATTAGATACAATATATAGTCAATCAAAACTGCAGACAGCTGTGTTTGAATTTGTCTAATTTATAGTCTGTGATGGAACTGGTATTGATTGTTCCACCTCTATTTGTCCTGAAGCCCTCTTGTTCCATTGCCATAATATGATTTTCATTTTCAATGTTTGTTTTTGGCTGATACTGTCAATTGAAAATATTAATAAACTGTCTTAAGAAGTTTTGTATGAACATGATTTTGTTGAAGTGCCACTGGTGGTTATGCCTTGATGAAAAAGATTCCTTCCCGGACTTTCTCATTCCTTACAGTCTAAATATTTCAACCATCATGCAGTGCTGTGCCACTCTCTCAAAGTTACATTTCCCAATGACTTTCAGTTTGCTGACCTTCTGCATACCAACATATTTATTTTATCAAGGCCTCCCAGCTTTAAACTGTTCCCTCACCTTCAATCCACTAGTGTAAGCAAAAAGGATTAGCGATGGATGCAGTCACAACGAGAGCAAGTTGGGGTACAATTTAAAGATATAGTAAAGTAAGCTGTTGTTGGTTTCCCGTGTTGAGCATCTTAACACCAGAGATTCTGGTGCTCCCCCTGCAAATGTATTGCTGAGTGTGCATTGGAATCAAGAAGATGACAGAAATAATGGCTGTTTTGCTGTAGCACTGACTCAGACAGCTTTATTTGCAGCATGATGTCTCTCTCCCGGTTACATAATGAAAATGACTGAAGAAACAAGCAGAGTGATATTGCTGAGTTTGCACTGCAAGACACTGGCTGTGTTTTCCCCTCTTGTGAATGAAATGAGGCGGCATAACGAAACACTTCTCTCCTCACTTTGAGTTGCTGATAGCCATCCTGAGGCGCTCCAAAGACAAAAGCTGACCTATAGTTCCAGTTAACATCCATCAGTTTCCAATGGATTTACAGATTATCTTCAGTCATTCACTTGTTCCTTGGGAAGTGAATTGAATTAAAGTTTAATTGTCCAAAAGATTAAACATTTAAGCTTAAATAGACCCAGATATTAAATTAATTTAAATAACATTACAATTTTAAGTGGGAAACACTATAAAGTGGGTATGAAATACTAGATGTAGTTAGCACAGTTTACAAGATAGATTCCCACTCTAAAATCCTTACAGGTTTAACACCTGTAAGTAATTTAAGTTAAAATTTTCAATCAAGTGTAGCTCCATCTTGTCCTAGTGTAGTCTGACTCAC